GGTTAGGGGCGATCAGGCAGGGTTAGGAGCCACCAGTGCAGGCTGGGCTGAGGAACACCCCTCCCCCCATACGAATTCCGTGCCCCAGGCCTCTAGTATATATTTATTTAAAAGTTAGTAAACTCAAGTCTGGCTAACAGTGCGCCCAGATGTTATTAATTTAATAATAATTAATTCACACAAAAAAAATGAATAAAAACAAACAAAAAATAATAATAATTCACAAAACAGAGACTGGGCCACATGCACCTAAGTTTGGGGGGAAGGAGGGACATGGGTCTTAGGAGCCCCCAGCCTTTACCACCAAAGACCCTGGACTCCCCACGCCCATCCCTGCCTCCGAGGGTCAGACTGAAGGTTCTAGAAAGGCCCCCGTGGTCCCCACACTGGATTCCTCCAGTGCCTCCTAGTTTCTGTTTTGTGTAAGTTGAGTGGGTCCTTATGTGATGTTTCAATGACATTGTTCTGGCTGCCAAAATGCTGCTGATGGGGGAGGGGGAAAAGGATATAGTTGCTCATCTCTGATTGGACAGGGAAGGCCTCAGTCGCCATCTGATTGGATAGGGAAACCGCCAGACACCATCTGATTGACAGGGAAAGTCTCCTTGGACATCTAGGGGGAACTCCATCACCTGGGTTCACTCTTCACACTTTTTTTTTTGTCTCGCTAGGTTTGTTGGGGTGCCCATTCCTCGCGTCAAAGATAAAGTGAACAATGACTATCTCACCGATGATGAGGTTCGTCCGGGGAAGGGGGTGATCCGGGGTGGAAAGTGGGGGTGTCCAGGGACCCTGAGAATGTCCCGCCATCTCCTGCTTGGTTGACCCCTTGAAGGCGGCTACAGGGATGTGGCCAGAATGCTGTGTCCAGCTCGGTGGCCTTGCCTTGGGGTCAGGGGTCAGGTCTTGAAAGACTGAGGGACACACAGACAGTAGGGAGTCTGACCGGACCCCCTAGAAGAGGTGCCAGAAGGGGGTGAAATGTGACAAAAAATGGGGAGACCCCATCCCATATAGGGACCCCCTCAGGGGCCACTCTCTCTGGCGGCAGGGACCACGTCTCTCCGCTGTCCTCATAACAACCAGCTCCTGGCTCTCTCACCCCATCAATGATGTGGGCATCTCTTGGGTCATTATCCTGAGCCCACACCCTGGGCCCACCCCCCATTCCTGATCCCTGGTTTCCGGGGACCCCCCAGCATCCAGTTCGCCTCATGAGGAACCAGGCTGAACCACTTCCCCCATTTTCCTGTCCAAGCTCCAACCTGCCCCAGGACCTTTGCACGTCCCACATCCTACATGACGTCTCCCATTCGTTCACAAACCCTCCAGCAGGGCGGCCTGGGGACAAGGAGACCCATGTAGACCTGTTTCGCGTTTCTATCTACAATCCCCACCCCACCAGCAAACGGGGGGCAGGGGGAATCCTGCAGACCTGACCCCCTCATTTATTTATTTTTTATTTTTTTTATTTTTTCTCTTCCCAGATCATCTGGGAGAAATTTACCCCAGCCGCCGGGAAAGGGGACATCGAAGAGATCTTTTCCGTGGAAGAAGTTGAAGAGTCCACAGCAAAAGTGTGAACCTCAGAGGCCTCCAGCTCCCCAGGCGTTTTGGAATTTGTGCGGAAATTTTTGTTTTGTTTTCGGGTGTTTTTTTGGGTTTTTTTTTTTTATTGGTCTTGTTTTCGGAATGTTTCTTGTTTGTGCGTTGTCGGCCGAAGATATGTTTTTCTCAACGGATGTTTATTTTTTTAATTTAAAAATATTTTTTTATTGAATTTTTAGACAGAGAGGAAGGGAGTGGGAGAGAAACGTTGATGAAAGGAGGGACTTGTATGCACGTGA